CCCTCAGGTTGGAAGACACTCAAAATGTGACTGAGGAAGAGCTGCCTCCTCAAAGTAAAGTTGACCATGATGACAGGAATGGAGTAAAGCCCGTGGGAGAAAAGCCCATGGGACCATTTGCTGATGGGGCACAACTCAAAATGAAGAGAAATAGCTGTAAACATCCATTAATAATTGGAACATGAAATGTAAAAAGTATGAATTTAGGAAAATTAGAAATTGTCAAAAATGAAATGGATAAACATCAATATCTTAGGCATTAGTGAGCTGAAATGGACTGATTTGGCCATGTTGAATCTGACAACCACATGGTTTACTATGCCGGCAATGACAAATTGAAAAGGAATGGTGTTGCATTCATTGTCAAAAAGAGTATATGCAGATCAGTCATGAGGTACAACGCTGTGATAGGATAATATCCATGTGCCTACAGAGAAGGCTTTCTGCTCCCATAAAGATTTACAGCCTCGCAAACCCTGTACAGGGTCACTATGAGTCGGAACCGACTCCACGGCACATAACCAACCAACAAACCACAGAGAAGCCCAGTTAATACCACTATGATTCAAATTTATGCACCAACTACTAAAGCCAGTGAGGAATAGAAGAATTCTACCCACTTCTTCAATCTGAAATTGATCAAACATGCAATCAAGATGTATTGATCATTACTGGTGATTGGAATGCAAAGGTTGGGAGCAAAGTGGAAGAATCAGTAGTTGGAAAATATGGCCTTGGTAATAGAAATGATGCTGGAGATGGCATGGTAGAATTCTGAAAAACAAATGTATTCTTCATTTCAAATACCATCTTTAGACAGCGTGAGACGACTATGCACATGGACCTCACCAGATGGAATACATAGAAATCAAATTGACTACATCTGTGGAAAGAGATGAAGGAAAAGCTCCATATCATCACTCAAAACAAGGCTAATGGCAGATTGTGGAACAGACCATCAATTGCTCATATGTAAATTTAAACTAAAGCTGAAGAAAATGAAAA